TCTCACGAGTTCCTAAGTTAGCTGCTTTGACTGGAGAAAGATCTAAATTAAAGATGACACAACCATGGTCACTAATAGCAGGGACCACAGATATAGATGAAACCAAATTGGGGAAATTAGTAAATACTAAATCAAGAATGTTGCTACAAGTTTCAGTACATCGAGTAGGCTGAGTGACAAGTTGAGTCAGGGAATGACTAGTACACAAATCGAGCAGTTGACTACATAAATGAGTATCTCATTGGCCAGTCACTGAATAGAACTACTGCCAATCAATTCCAGGCAAATTAAAGTCACCACAAATGAGTGTAGGTGGATAAGACTCATTATGACGAGAGAAGAAGGCGTTCACAGAATTAGCGATTCCAGTGAGTTGATCAAGAGGGGGCCTTTACCCAATCATGGAATATAAGGGCTTAGAATTCTTAATATTTAGCTCCACCCAAGTGAGTTCTGCTCCTTCTTCATCAAAAGAGGTATCTAAAGAGCTATAAATGGACTTCTTTTAAACAGCAATAAAAACGCCACCCCCATGACGGTTACGATCTTTCCTATAAACATTGAAGTTATCGAGAAACATCTCACTGGATGGGATAGAAGGGTCCAGTTTAGATTCAGTGCCAAGAACAATATCTGGCAAGTGGTCATTAACTAGGTGGAGATGTGCTGGCTTAGCGTCACCTTTGATGCTATTGAAGTTACTCAAAAGGAATTTCAATTTATTCCTAGGACGAGAGTTCTTAGCGGTGCGTTGAGGAAGAAGTTGAGCACTGACGTCTTGGAAAGAAGTGGAGGCCTGAAGGGGGGAAAAAGAATTTGGGTGCGACAAATCATCAATGTCAAAAAAACTATCAGAGTCAGACCTAAATAACAATTGGATGTGCCATATATAGTTTAAATTTTAAAGTGGATAAAGGTGATTTTACTATTGTATATATAGCTATTTGTGTAAATCTGCTAAACTCTTGTTGCTGTTCTTATTTCAGCCAACATCAATTTCTGGAATGCATTCTTCCTTTCACCTTCACACTGTCCCATATTCTGCCATGCAATTTTTAACACGTGTCGATGCCTTCATAGCTCAAGCTATAACGTGGGACGTTCGATAAATCATCCCACCCCCCTGTCTAGCATGAACTAGGCTTTCCCAATAATTTTTAGCTGTGTACATAGTTCACAATGCTAACACAGCCACGCTGTACTTTCACATCTTGATGTATACACACCGAAACTCGTAGATTTTACCAGTCTATTGAGGTCGCTTATGCGTTAATTATGTGTTAATTATGACATGTGTAATTAACTGAAACCCCTCCTGGGCCCTCCTCATTCTATACACAAATGACATACCTTCTGAAATTCCTGGGGAGAACCCTGATATGAGTGTAATTATGCGTTAACCACCGACTTTTCGATCACTGTGTACACAGCAAAACCTATGTCATACAATTAACGATCGGGATTCTGTTAATCATTTATCTTCTTTCCTCTTTGGGTAACTAATCAACAAGCTCTAGAACTGTATATAGCGCTTCACTCTGCCACAGGCCTGTGGCAGAGCGAAGGGCTATAGTTCTAGAGCTACTAATCAACTCACTGAATGTGTATAATGAATAATACTTGCTATGTAACCATTACATGCTAAGTACATGCACAAATTAAGACATCTCCTTAACTAATGAGTAATGTAAAAACAGGACAGCAGCTGGCCCTAGCCAAGCACAGCCTGCAAACACTCATAACATTCATATAAAAAATTTACGAATATATAATGAGGCATATAAACGTGAAGTGTGTATATGTACACTGTATCAACAGAGACTCACTTGCCCAAACAGGCATGAAAGCAATTTACCCAACACTATCCATGATCCAGAATTTGTCATTGCAAGGGGCAACCGTCTGCAATCATTTGTCATGTAACCTTAAAACGCAGTATTACGAGTATAATATAGCCATGCTCGTGTCGATGCTGAAATACTGAAATAAAATGTATAAATACAATAAACTCAGGGGCGACTGTGTCAACGTTTCCGTGACCAAGCCTGCGTCAATTATATGTACTTACTATATGTTACATTGTTAGTTTGTTATCGCTAGAAAAGTAAGCAGTAAAGCTGAGCCTGTACTGCCATGCTGAGAGGGTCTATGTCCCCCAGGGTACTGCCGGAACGTACCCTGGTACTAAATACTACTATCTAATATGCCGGACCGTACCTCGCCTACTCCAACTCCCTAACTCTAACCCTAACACTAACCCTAACCATATCAGCTAGATAGTTACCAGAATACGTTCCGGCAGGGGACATAGACCCTGGGGGACATAGACCCTG